ACATGACATGTTAAGTGGTGATGAAAGTTTCAAGATCAAATCTACAAAATGAGCGACCACTTAAACTTGGACCATGCACCATTGCTTACATGTTGCCCTTTCCAAAAAGTATGCTTGAGTAATGTTGGATCTACTGCTTTCATGTGCCCCACATCAATTTCCACCCACATGGATGATTGGAAAAGTTTCGTGAAGTTTGGAATCAAAAAGTTACATGGAATGATAAGTTATAATCTTTCTTGGATTGCTTTATTAAGTGAATGGAATTATAGATCGTCAACCAAACCTTGCTACCTTGCCCAAACGACTCAAATTGAAATCTACAACAAAAGTCATGAAGGGTTCGTGTTGAGCGGAGGACAAGAAAATACCTCCATCGGTCTAAAACTTGGATTTAAGCTTTACCGCGATGCTACTTTGACCGACGTTGACCAATTGCTTATAGTGCTTGCATGGAGTTACACCTTAAATAAAAGTTGAAGTTTAAGTCGAATAGAACCAAATTTGTTTGATGCTCAAGAACTAGTTTGGTCCGTAACCTAGTCAAACAGAGCTCACAAGATTCAATGAACCGCTGTTTTTGGAACCCTGAAATTTGGCTAAGTGTAAATGACGAACTTCCCGTTTTCAGTTTCAATGTACCCATATTTGGCGAATTTTAGTTTGCAAACCATTTCGAATTTGGGAAAACTCCTTTAAGGAAAGTTAGAGTACTCTTGTAGCCCTACACAACGGTGTAATCGGTGGAGCAAATAATCGATCGGTTTAGGAGATATGATGGGAGGAAAATGGGATTTCAGCTTGTATTTTCGCGGTAGAATTGAAATTTTGAAATTTGATGAACAGTAATGTTCATGGCCGATCATCTGCATGTGCTTCGTTGCAGCGTGGCCTCCAAAGGTTCGTGCTGTTGATTCGCCATTCGCCTTCTTGCCGTGCTTAAGTGCGTAACCGAGTTCCCCTGTCCTCTCCACTCACTCCTCTCCATTCTCCCTCTCTCTCTCTCTCGCTCTCTCCTCGCTTGGCGCCATGGCCGAGTGGGCAAGACGCCGCAGCTTCTGCTTGATGTTTCTCTCCTCTCCTCCTCCTTCCTCCTCTGCAGCCACCATCTCCGCCTCATCCCCTCTCGCCTCACGGCCAGAAGGCTGTCTCCTGTGGCTGCCGGTGCAGTGGCAAGAAGATCGCCACCAAAGTCGCATGTCGCCTTGTTGCCGGGCGACATGGCTGTGGAGGCTGTGGTCCGGCTGGCTGGCCGGGCCGAGACTGCACGAGTGAGGCCCGACGTCGCCAAGCGCCAAAGACGGGTTTCGGGTGCTCGCCGCGCTCCACCATCGCCAAGAGCCCCCTACACGACCGTCACCGACGAGCCTCGGTGCTCTCTCTCGCTTCCTAATCCCGTCGGGGACTGTTTACTAGAATTGACGTAAGTCAGGGGCCTAAATGCAATGTCATTGACTCAAGTGAATAGTGCTTCCGAGGACTTATTTGCTGTAAATCGGGTAAAACTTTGAAATTTCATAGTAAATCATAGGAAATTCGTAAATTAGCAAATGAGGACTTTTTGGAATCCTTATGAAATTCTCTATGCACTAGATCTATAATATGTCAGGTTTTAGTTTAAAGTTGTAGCTGTAAAAATGGATTTGTGCAGTTAGGGTTTGAATGCTAGTCTTATTTGTTTTTTTTTAACTGCAGTTGTTGTGCTCAAATAATTGTGAAATTTTTGTGGAGTGCTACTAAGATGATTGTTGTTGTCTGGTAAAAATTTCATGAGTTTAGGATTTATATTTTAAGAGTTATAAAAATAATAAATGCCCTGTAATGCTTTGCTCCTACTCTGAATAGTTCTGCATGTTTGAATTAATTGGCTCAGTTAAGGTATGAATCATGACTTGATGAAAATACATGAGTTGTGGTACTTTTCTTAAGCTTTCCAAAAAGTTAAATATCATGATTTTTGGCTAAGTAGATCTTGAGTTATACTTGCTTAAATCTCTGTGGCTGTTTGTGCCTAAACCCAGACAGGGTTTCCTTGTTCTTTCTGTGGGGCCTTCTTACTTGTGGAATTAGCTTTAGGTGTTTACAACAAAGTTGTTTAGAATTTGCTAAGCTTTCTAAAAAGTCTAGAACCACATTTATTGGACATGTATAACTCCATTTATAGCTGTTTAAAGTGGCATGTCAGTTTCTGTCTATGTTTTTGACAGAGCTGCAATTATTGGATTAATTGACCCTTCTAACTGTAGAATCATCTTAATATGAGAATAAGAAAGTTGTAGGTAACTTCCTAAGCTTTTCAAAAAGTTAAGGTTCATGTTTGTTGGAGGTCTAGAACTCCAGTTATGCTTCTCTGAAGTTTCTATCAGTTTTCTGTACCACTGCTGTTGGGCTGCATTTGTAGTTTTGCTTGTGCAATTATTTTCGTGGTGTAAATGATGTTTGCTATGGTTGTAGTGAATACAAAAGTTGTAGCAAATTTCATGATCTTGCTTGTGTTCAAATTGTAAGGTCATAGGCCAGATAGTGTAGGAGTTACATGACTTTTAAGTCTTCTATCAGGTTTTGATTTTATTCTGAGCAGATCTGAAAGATGCTAGTGTTTGATCTAGTTAGGATTTGAATGAGTTTTTGGGGATAATAACAAAGTTGTAGATAATTCATGTATCTAGCTCCTGTTAAAATTTGGTGGTATTTGGCCTTGTGGTTTGTGAGTTATGCCTGTTTAAAGTTGGGCTTCAGAAATGGCTGCTCTCTGTCTTGTTTAGACCAGTTTACGTAAATGGGTATATTTGACTTAGTTAACTTGAGAATCATGCTAAGATGATTAAATATGAATTGTTGAAAATTTCATGAGATTTCCAGAATGTCTTCTTGCAAGTCATTTGGATTTGTGTAACTCAGTTATAGCTAAATCTTGTAGCTCTTTGTTTGCATGTCCGAAATTGATGATTCCAATTATAGTTGTTTGCTTGTATTTTGCTAAGTGTGGCTCATACCTTTGATGATGGTTGAGTTAAAGTACCTGAGATCTTGGGAAACTTGTGTCATGCTTGGTGTTGTCATCTTCTTTGCTATCGTGGCATTATAAATTGTGCGATATTTAAAGTAAGCAATGCGAAGTGCTTGTGCATGTTAACGTAACCTTGTGCTTGTCTTACTTACTGCATGCGCTGCATTATCTATTGCACTTCCATGTATTCATACACCTGCATCTTGCATCTCATTTAGGTACGCTAGATAAACCACGTGAAGGATGTGATGTGGAGTCAAACCCGAAGATGGTGTTTGGTGGATCTATCCCGAAGATGGAAGGACTAAGCAAGTGCTAGGACCGGAGATGTCACCAAGTTGGTGCAAGCTAACTGAACTGACTTGTGTCGGATCCCAGGCAAGCCCCGGAGCATTCTAAGTCTTCCAATATTTTACAAATGATTACTTAAGTACTTATGATTGATGCATTAGGTTATAAGAGTTGAATGGAACCACTTGATGCATATACATTCCTTGTCCAGATATTACACCTTTAACCGGTATAGGTCCAGGATCGAATATATGCTTAGCCATGCTTAGACCGGTAGAAGTCAGGTGATTTCCTATCACCTGCGAGATATAGGTGGATACCGAAGCACGGTTGGCTATATTTGCTATCGTGGAAAAGAACCATGGGGTAAAAGTAAATCGAGGTCGGGCGGAGTCTATGTGTAGGTTGACTCATGTGATTCCGTCTGTGTTGATTAAGGACCGTACCGTTGTTGGCGCTTCTGACAAGATTGAGCGCATGCCTATCACTTAGCTGGCCGGATAACTCGTTCCGACCGCGAAGCCGAGTAGCTCAACTCAGGTCGGGACCCGTTCTGTTGTGCGCTCCTTGCGGGGGGCGATCAGACTGAGCCCAAGGGCAAGCTAGGCCTGAACGTCCTGGCATCTGGTGTCCCAGACTGTGCGGCGCGGTACGGACCCGCAAAATGTGTACCTGAGTTGTACCAAAGGTGACCTAAGGTGACCGTTGATCTGGTCTGCCTGGGTTTGTGTTAGGAATAAATTCCCAGCTGGTTGAAATCGATTCGAATCGCCGTCTCTCCCGGATAGTGAGAAACTTGGCTAGTCCCAACATCGTAGTAATTGGATTATGGAATGTGATGGTTCGGATGAATATGGAATTACTACACCTGCTATGGTTAGTATTGTATGCTATAAAACGATATACCACATGTTTGGCACAGGATAGTTGCTAATCTAAAGATGAATAGTTCTAATTAACTTGATGACAGAATTATAATTGTATAATTGAGTTAATCGCTTTTTATGCAAATTGTTGTCAAGCTACTTCCACTTATAAAGCCTTGCATACTCCTTGGAGTCAATTTTATTTCTGGTTATGACGGGTAAGTCTAGCTGAGTACATTCGAGTACTCAGGGTTTATCCCACCATGTTGCAGGTAAGGTTTTGGCCTGCTGAAGATGGTGGCTAACCACCGGTGGGCTCGGTGACTCCATATCTACTTCTCATCTACATGCTTTTGTCTGAGGATGTCACTTATACTAGCAATGTATTTGGACTCATATTAATGAAATCCTTCGAAAGAAATGTTGTTTTCACTAATCGGTTTTGAAATCCAAACTTGTATTATTATTTATGAACCTAATTGTAATATTATTTCCACTGCAACTCTGTGTATGTGATGTGTATTTGCTTAATCACGCGATCTTGGTTGCGATGTTGATTTACCGAGGTCCTGCGTGACACTCGGCGGACTACCGGGTTTATATAAGTGAGAGTATGCGCATGTCAACGTGTTAAGCGGGGACAACCGTACTTGATCTTGTATAAATTGGACGGTTCTGTCACACTTTGGATGCATAAATATTTGAGAGTAATACATAAGGGCCACTGTCTGACGGATCTCCCAAGAGTGCCATTTCAGCGGCATACCTCCCAATTTCAACATTACCAAAGAGACGGCACGCACTCAGCAAGCTCCTCCAAACAGCTGCCCGGTTCAATACCATATTTTGATTGGCATCTTTTCAATAAACTCCTGAGCAGAATGTAATCTCCCTGAACGACCAAGAAGATTGACCACTGAAGCATAATGCTCGGTGCCCGGTTCAATACCATATTTTGATTTCATGGAGTTAAAATGGTGTAAGCCTTCATCCACAAGACCTGCATGAGCACATGCTGATAGCACACCAACAAAAGTCACATAATTTGGTTTTACATTGGCCTCTCTCATCAGCTGGAAAGCACGAAGTGCTTCTTCAGCATGACCATGTTGTGCATTCGTAGTAATCATGGAGTTCCAACAAATAACATCCTTCCCACATGTTGACTCAAACAACATCCATCCTTCTTTAATGCAGCCACATTTTGCATACATGTCTATAAGAGCATTTGAAACATGAGGATTAATGTCACAACCTGCTTTGATGATCCGGGTATGAAACTGCTGCCCATGGAACATGCTTGCCAAGTTGCTTGCCACAGTTACTAGTGCTACAAATGTGAACTCATTGGGTGTCATCCCAGAGACACAAAGTTGGTTGAAGAGTTTTACCACCTCTTCCCCTTGCTCATTCTGTGTGTGGCCAAATATCATAGCATTCCAGATGGCCATGTCCCTGTTTTGCATCGTAAGAAACACAGCCTTGGCATCATCCACAAGGGAAGATTTTGAATAGGCATCGATTAGAGCACTTCCCACGTATAGGTCTACTGAAGTTCCTGATTTGATGACGAGGCCATGAATCTGCTTACTCCATTCAATAGATGACAGAAGTGATGACATCCCAAGTAGCGAAACAAAGGTTAGTAGGTTTGGCCTTAGAGAGCAATATCTCATTTTACGGAATATATGAACTGCTTCTGTAAGATCACCTTGCCTTGCATAGCCTTCAATCATTGCATTGTAAGAGACTACATCATCATGCGCCAAGGCATCAAATGCCACTCTTGCAGCAGTTAAATGGTCACATTTAGCGTACATGTCAATGAGAGCATTCTTGACATATTCATCATTCTCCAGATTAGCCTTTATGGCATGGGCATGTATTTGTGTTCCTTGCGATATAGCTTCCATTGAGTCGCATGAGTTCAAGATACTTGTACAGGCAAAAGCATCTGGCTGCCATCCAGCCTGACACATCTGCCGGAACATTTCTATGGCTTCAGCATCAAGTGAATTCTGCATATAACCAGCGATCATTGTAGTCCAAGACACAAGATTATGGTTCTTCATTCGATCAAATAGCTTACGAGCCACTAATGGTCTGGAGCACTTGCAATACAAATCTATGAGCGCGTTGATAACGGAAGCATCCACTCCTGCTGCACTTCGATAAGCGTAGCCATGTATTTGCCTGCCTCCCTGTAGAAAGGCAAGCGTAGAGCAGGCACTGACAGCACTTGCTAACACAAACCTGTCAGGCTGAACACCTTGAGCCCCCATCTTTTGAAACAAGCCCAGGGCTCGTCCGCTGTGGCCAATCCGAGAGTAACCGGTGATGACTGCTGTCCAAGTAACTGGATTCTTTGCAGGGAGAGCATGGAACACCCGCATGGCCGCATCCATGCAGGCAACCTTCGCATATAGGTTGACGAGCACAGTGCCAACATAGAGATTGACATCCAGGCCAAGCTTGACGGCGTTGCCATGCACTTGCTCACCAAAAGGAACAGCCCTGGACTGCATGCAGGCCCGCATGACGCTGGCAAGCAAGAACTCGTTGGGTGCCTCGTCAGACGATCTCCTGAACGCTGCAAACAGGGCAAGGGCTTGGCCGTTGGCGCCATGCTGCGAGTAATGGAGATGGCTGAGGACCAGGACACTAGGTTCCGGTGCGGCATTCCGTCGAACAGGCGGCGCGCATCGTGGATGCGGCCGAGCTTGGAGTAACCGTGGAGGAGAAGGTTCGCGAGGTAAAGGAAGCCAAGGCCATCGGAGACGACGGCGCGGGCGTGGGCAGCCGGGAGAAGGCGGCGGAGGCGGCTGCCTGCGAGGCCGGAGAGCAAGACTTGCGCGAGGCTGCGCAACTGGGTGGGGGAGCACGAAACGGAGGAAGGTGAGCCAGACAGAGGCCCCCCAAGAAGATTCATTGTTCTACTATCTACTGGCCTGGGTGGGGTAGGGTGGGGGACAAATACTGATCATCCCCAATGTCACGATTCCAAAACAAGAGAATCAGCAGCAATTTTCCATCATAAGTAATTCGATGGGAGAGAATGAAACCGACCAGAGGAGCTGGAGCTGGTAGTGGAACTTGTCGAGGTCCTCGGCGGTGGACAGCACAGGCTTCTTGGCCGCGGCGCGCTCGCCGCCCAGCAGCGCCTCGTACACAGTGCTCTCCGAGCCTGCACAGCTTTTCACCGTTACCACTACGCACGCGCCGTCCCCACCTCCGGAGCGCCACAACCGAAAGGGAGAGCCGAGAAGCGAGGGCTTAGCGTGTGGGGATACCTCGCGCGATGGGGGACAGGAGGGAGAAGGAGGCGGGCGGGAGGTGGAACGGGATGGTGGCGCTGCGGCAGCACCCGCGCACGCACCGGTTGGACTCCTCCGGCGGCACCTGCAGCCCCATGTTCACTGCCGCCGGGGGAAGGAGACGATTGGTGCGCCGGCCTGCGGCTTCGCTCTTGCTTGGCTAGAGGGAAGAACCCAGGAATGAGTTGGGGAGGCGGGCGGAGGGAGGCGTCGGTGGCGACGACGAGGCCACCGGGTGGTGTAGAGACTTTTTTTGCGTGCCATTATAAAAGATCGTAATTTCTTGTGTGTGTTCTTCATGGTCTTCTGCCACTATTTCAATTTTTGGGTCCTTCATTACCATTTCAAATCGTCGATTCAGAGCTCTAACGTCGTCAAACTGCAGATGTGAAAAGACGAAAATACATTTAAGTTCAAATATGTTATTAATTTTTTTGAGCATCTTAACGACTTCAAATGAAAAAACTCAAAACTAGAAAGTTGTAGATCTCGTCGAGATCTATAATTTTCATATAAAATTTATTTTCATTTAATTCCGCAAAAAAAAATATGATGATTTTTCTAAGATATATTAATCATATCAAATTATATTTTTTTGCGAAATTAAATGAAAATATTTTTTATATGAAAATTATAGATCTCGACGAGATCTACAACTTTCTAGTTTTGAGTTTTTTAATTTGAAGTCGTTAAGATGCTCAAAAAAATTAATAACATATTTGAACTTAAGGGCATGTTCGTCTTTTCACACCTGCAGTTTGACGGCGTTAGAGCCTGAACTGACGGAAGTGGCATGGAGGACCCGAAAAAGTTAAAGTAGTGACGCTGAAGACCGCTGAATTTTTTCAGAGGCACACAAGAGATTACGATCTTTTATAAATACACAGACAAAAGTCTCGATGGTGTATGGATGGTGGATCGATTCACGATTCACCCGAAAGGAAGGTGCGTTGACTGGTTCCTCCCTCTTTTTCTCCGTTACGCGAGTACCTTTGCTTCCAATGTGGCGAATCAGCAGTAAAAAGAATTGGCAGCTAATAAATCTGTCCTCAATTGTCCTATCAAGCGGCACTTAGTAACATAGATATTGGTAAAATTCTCTATAAACTCATCAAAATTAAGGACTGCTCCAACTTTCTCAACAGCAATTGGATCATCCCAACCGTTGATCTTAGGGAGGATCATAAGTTCATAACACTTCCAGGTGTTGAGTCAATATTATTGTCCAACAGTAAATGTGGTGTTGAGCTTGGCTCCAACGAGAGAGATGGCTACATGCCTTTCATTGGTATAACCCGCAGCTATTTTAAGTGCTGATATCACCCTTTTTTATCTCCTTGCAAAGATTTTTATTGCATCTCAAATTTTACAAGAACATGGAACTTTTCATCGTCTATCCATTTATATTTTTGTTGGGAGTTTTGCTCGGGTGGTCCTCTTCGACAAAGTTGCACGTATCTCAAAGCGCCTGGTTAATTAATTAAATTAATTTCGTTTGGAACTGGACTCGGACTATCCATCCCCAGCCTAGTCATTCTTGATCTAGAGTTAAGCACTCACGCACATCGCTCCTATCTCCCTCCCTCTCCCTTCATTTATTCTCTCGTTGGAACAGCCGAACTGGAGAGGTGGCCGGCGCCGGCGACGGCGACGGCGGCGACACTAGCCATTGAGGTTCCTTCCTCGCCTTGCATCCCTTGCTCCGCGCTGGTCTTGTAGTGCGGACTGCGGCGACGGCGGGCAGCGAGCGGTGGCAGGTGGCGGCGTCGGTCGGTGACGACGACGGCTCTGCAGGGCTATGTGCCGATCTGCTTCGGTATCCCCCGCTGTGCTCTGGTCTTGTAGTGTGGGCGGCGATAGCGGCGTTGTACGGTGACGGTGGCGGCGGCGGTATAAGCGACGAGCGACGGTCACCTAGATCACTCTGCGTGGTGGCCACAACCTCCGCCGCCTCTCAATTGCCAAGAGCTCCGGTGAAACGTATCTCGATCTTGGTCATTTTTTAGTCAGTTTAGCATTGTCTTACATGATGTGGAAATTTTGCGATGAGATGATTCAGGGAGGGTTCACGTTCATTTTCTAGAGGCAACATTGATGTAAATTTCTAAATTAGGATTAGGTCAGTGATCTCGCGTAATTGATACTTATGTGCTGGCTGCTTGACTAAGATAGGCTTAAATTTTGAGCTGCTTGCTTAAAATTTAGAACCAAATTTTACAGGATCAACCCCTCTGGCTTTACCGCCTGTGACCGGAAGGTCCCGGGTTCGAGTCGCGGTCTCCTCGCATTGCACAGGCGAGGGTAAGGCTTGCCAGTAACACCCTTCCCCAGACGCTGCACAGAGCGGGAGCTCTCTGCACTGGGTACGTCCCTTTTTTTAACCCCTCTGGCTTCAGCAGCTTTTGTACGGGAAAGGAATTTTTCTGAAAATGCTTCAACTGTCAGTTTAGCATGCATAATTGTTAACCTTTTGTAAAATCAAAAGGGAGATGGAAAGATCTTGTTGAAATATCTTTTTCTTTCCTTTTGGTTGAAGTGATGTCTTTAGTGAGTTTGATTACTGTAGTTCCAAGATAAATTGTATGAGTTGTCAGTAGTAGTGTTCCAATTTAGAGCATATGCAGTTTAGAATTCCTGAGGTTGATACTGTGCCCTTTCTAATGGAAAGATCCTGTTCAAATATATTTTTCTTTCCTTTAGGTTGTCTGCTATCTTGCCTTTCCTACAGAGGCCCCGTTCGCTGGTCTGAACTTTGGCTGAAACTGGTTGAAAAACACTGTTCCGGCTGAATTGTTGGGAGAGAAAAACACTGTTTCGGCTGAAAAAATAAGCCGAACAAGCCAAATTTAAGACAAACGAACGAGGCCAGAATATACTATCTGCACTCGTCCTTATACTAGGAAAAAAAATTCACTGAATAATCATATTTCCATTATATGTATGGAGTTCCCAACAATTATTGAGTTTTGCTTGAAATGTGACGTGAACTGCAGCCAGGGCTCGTAATATAAAGACAAGAAAGTGTAAAAGTAGCCGGCCACCCAGCGTGCCACGTCGTCTGTTTTTCGTGGCCGTTCGATCAGCCGCGCGGACGGTCCAGATCGGGCGAGCCACGGTCATTTTTCAAAAAAAACCCTTCTTTTTTCGGAAATCAACCCGCGCTCCAGAGTCCCTCTCAGGATATTTTACAAAAAACACCTCAGATTATTTTGAAATCAACCCACGGTCCAGGACGGATGGCCTCCGGGTTTTTTTTCAAAAAAACCCTTATCTTTGTCGAAAATCCGCCCGCGCTCCACAAACCCTCTCATCATTTTTTACGAAAACCTCCTCGGATTTTTCTCAAATCAACACACAGGCCAACTTTGATTATATCTTTTTTCCAAAAAAAAACGTGTGGCCAGTGGCCCGCGCGCATGGGCGCGCCCGAAGGACTAGTGGATAACAGAGGTGAAGATGAACATGAGGAGGAATTGGACTTCCATCTTGGGACTGCTTCGGATGATGAAAACACGTTGTCGAATTCAAATTTATCATTAATGGGAAAGGATGCTGGTGGGGATGCACAAAGAGATGCACCAGTAAATTATCCATATGACTTCCTATTTATTTCATCAGTATTATGGGTTTGTGGCAGCTAGTTTGTGACGATGTTTCATATGTCCATACTGATGAAACACAACATTTGCGTCTGCAGAGAGATGGCAACTACACTTGTGACCAGGATATATTTACGAAAATGGCATCTGGTGCAGAGATGAACAATATATTGGATGAGTACTAGGACATAGTCAAAAAGACCTTTGCATCTGAAGGAGAGGTTTACATTTTCTATAACAAGTATGTGAGGGACAAGGGTTTCGGTGTCAGAAAGCAGAAGATGAGGTGTGCCAAGTACTCTGGACAACTATTGTTCAGGCGGTTCTTGTGTTCTCGAGAAGGCGAGCGAGAAACAAAAATGGCTATTCAAGTTTATCATCAATGAGAAAGGATGTGTGGTGGGGATGCACAAAGAGATGCACCGGTAAATTATCCATATGACGTCCTATTTATTTCATCAGTATTGTGGGTTTGTGGCAACTAGTTTATGACGATGTTTCATATGTCCATACTGATGAAACACAACATTTGTGTCTGCAGAGAGATGGCAACTGTACTTATGACTAGGATATATTTACGAGAATGGCATCTGAAAAAAGAGATGAACAATATATTGGATGAGTACTAGGACATAGTCAAAAAGACCTTTGCATGTGAAGGAGAGGCTTTCATTTTCTACAGCAAGTATGTGAGGGACAAGGGTTTTAGTGTCAGAAAGCAGAAGGTGAGGCGTGCCAAGTACTCTGGACAACTATTGTTTAGACGGTTCTCGTGTTCTCGAGAAGGCGAGCGAGAAACAAAAATGGCTAGAGAAAGAGGATTTCAGCCGTAGACCAAGAGCTCTAACTCGATAAACTAGAGATCAAACTGGCATCGTTAGGAAGGATGCATACAACTTCTCTGCTAGGTACAAGAGAGCTAGGATCGCACAAGGTGATGCAATGACGGTATTAGGTCTCATGCAGACTAGGCAGAAGTGAAAGGTCCTTATTTAGTTTTGGTAATTGAGTGACAACATAGGTGGACTAATTTTGTTTAATGTGAGATATACAGGTGATTAGTCCACAGGTACATGTGCGTGAGTAACATATGCCATGGAGGTGAAAATGGCTCGGAGATGTTGCAAAGCTCACACATGTGATGATGAAGCATCATTGCATATGAGACATGATATGGAGTCATATGACTAAGGTGGAGAAGATCAAGACAAGACTTGGCTTGATGGACCGGTTGCAAGTGTGAAGGGCAAGTTGAGTGATGACTTAGCGCCGATGGACCGAAACAACGGTGAAGAGCAAGTGAGGTCAAGATCGATAAACCAATATGGTCACGTGATGATATGGAGTGGATCATATCATTGTTGATCGTGTTGGTGCATGTGTTGCATCGATATTGGAGGAGATGGAATGGAATGCGCAAGACAAAGGTATAACCTATAGGGCATTTTATTTCACCGGTCATAGGTGAGTAGAGAAGTTAATGACCGGGTTTAGGATA